ACACGCAGACGTACACACACACACACATGCAGACGTACACACACACACACACACACGCCGACGTACACACACACACACGCAGACGTACACACACACACACGCAGACGTACAGACACACACGCAGACATACACACACACACACACACACACAGATGTGCAAACACACACGCACACATACACAGGCACACACACACAAAATACTCTCCAGAAACAGGATGAGTTAAAACAGGTTTACTTCAGCATTACTTCAGAACCACACTGAGCCGTGGTCTAACAGAAACCAGAAGGTTGGCAGTCAATTCACCGTCTGAAGAGACCCCTACACTGTCAGTATTGATGCCTTTCAGACGAGAAGCTCTGCCATGTTTGCCTTCTCAGGAGAATGCGACAGGAGGGGAGTTTTCCTTACTGCCCAGGCCAATATGTATCCCTATAGGGCATACCCTATAGGGGAGGCAATGGCCTAATGGTATTATTGCTGGACTGTTAATCCAGAGACCCAGGTAACATTCTAGAGACCTGAGCTCAAATCCCACCACAGCAGACAGTGGAATTTGAATTCAATAAATGTCTGGAATTAAGAGTCTAATGATGACCATGAATCCATTGTTGTAAAAACTCATCTGGTTCACTAATATCCTTTAGGGAAGGAAACCACTGGCTCCAGACTCACAGCAATGTGGTTGACTCTTAACTGCCCTCTGGGCAATTCGGGATGGGCAATAAATGCTGCCTAGCCAGTGATGCCTTCATCCCGTGAATGAATAAAAGAAGAACCCAACATTACAGAACCAGATTATCTGGTCATTGTTACTTAACTGGATGTGGACAAATTGTCTCCACAGCAGCAGTGACTACATTTTGAAAGGACTTCCTTAGCTGTAAAGCATTTCAGGCTTCCCTGAGTTCAGGAATGTCCCTATATAAATCAAGTTTAATTTTTTTAATGGCACATTATTGTTGTAAATCTTTATAACATCCTCTCGATATGGCTCCAATGTTCTCTTTGTCATTGGGAAGAAAACAATACTCCAACTGCAAGTCACCCTGTCAAGCCATATATGGCATCTGTGCTGTTGTGAACAGTTTAGATCATAGAATCTCTACAGGGTGGAAGCAGGCCATTCGGCCCCTCGAGTCCACACCGACCCCCTGAACAGCATCCCATGAGTCACTCTGTCTTAGGTAGAGTGTGCGGTGGATAGGACAGGGACTTCAAGGTAACACACTAACCTCTTGGAGTTCAGCAGAAACTGGAAGGCCCAGAACACTGAGGGGAGTGTACTGAACTTTGTACCCCATCACAGGCCCATGCGCTGCAGTCCATCGAATTCGCATTGATTCAAAGCCCTCATCGCTGAAGATCAGACTTGAGGGGCCATTAGGTATTTGAGTAACTGAAAACACAACAGAAACACAATTATATTTATTCTATTTTTGGCCTCTAAACAGTCTACAAAGCCCCAAAACAGCAGTCAGGCAGCGCGCACATTGCTGCCTGCAAATGCCTCTGCCACAGACACAATGGGCTGAATGGTCTGTGGTTTCCTCTTGTTTAGATGATTTCTCAATTGGGAAGGGAACTCATCAAGCAAGAAGTTTGTCAAGACTTCTTTGACAGCATTCTCCAAACCAACAACCATTTCCATCTAGAAGGATTCGGGCACCAGATAGAATCATAGAGTCATGCAGCATGGAAACAGGCCCTTGGCTCAACTCATCCATGCTGACCAGGTTTCCTAAACTGCACTAGTCCCATATGCCTGTGTTTTGGTTATCCTATTCATGTAACCATCTGAACGTATTTTAAATGTTGTAATTGTACCAGCCTCCACCACTTCCTCTGGCAGTTCATTCCATACACACACCACCCTCTGTGTGAAAAAGTTGTCCCTTAGTTCCCTTTTAAATCTTTCTCCTCTCACCTTAAACCTATGCTCTCCAGTCTTCGACTTCCCTATCCTGGGGAAAAGACCTTGGTTATTCACCTTAGCTATGTCTCTCATGATTTTACAAACGTCTATAAGGTCACCCCTCAGCCTCCTACGCTCCAGGGAAAAAAAGGTCCAATCTATCCAGCCTCTCCTTATAACTCAAATCTTCCAATCTCAGTAACATCCTGGTAAATCTTTCTGGCAGCCTTTCCAGTTTAATAACATCCTTCCTATATTCATGGAAACACCATCATGCAAGTTCCCCTCCAAGCCACTCACCGTCCTGACTTGGAAACATATCGCCATTACTGCGTTGTTGCTGGGTCAAAATCCTGGAACCCCCTCTCTAAAGGCATTGTGAGTGTACCTACACTAAATGGACTGCAGTGGTTTAAGAAGGCAGCTCACCATCACCTGCTCAAGGGCAACCAGGGGTGGGCAACAAATACTATTGCAACCAGTGACACCCATGTCATCTTGAGGGCTGTACATTGATCAGCATTACTAGGGTGGGGTGCTGATGAGGGAGACTCCGTTCGACTGGCAGCTCACACAGGGAGCCCTAGACGGCTGGAGGTCTGTAATGCACTGTACGACAGTGTGCTGGAGTCAGGTTCAATCAAGACATTCAAAAGGGGATTAAACTGTTCTTTGAGAAGGAACAATGTTCAGGGTTACAAGGAGAAGACAAGAGAATAGCACATGGCAAGATGCCCACTCGGAGAGCTGCTGCAGACACAATGGGCCAAAAGGCATCCCTTCTGCTTTGTCAGAGATAGTAGGAACTGCAGATGCTGGAGAATCCGAGACAACAAGGTGCAGGGCTGGATGAACACAGCAGGCCAAGCTGCACCTATGATGCTGCTTGGCCTGCTGTGTTCATCCAGCCCTGCACCTTCTGCTTTGTACCAATTTTGTGAATTTAGCAGGGCACAAAATTGTTACAACGCAGAAGGAAGCTAGAGCAATGAATCGTCCTGTAGTAAAATTGCCACCAATTACCCCAAGAACGTGTCTGTGGGTTCCCAATAATCTGGGAAGTCAGCCCCACATCACAGACGTTGTTGGTGACCCAGGGCACCAGACAGTCAGACAATCCCCACAACGGACCTCTCCTCTTACCCTCTGGTGCATCCAGGGCTCCCCCAGTGATGGAGCAAACCCTCCTTGAAATGAGTGGTGTGAGAGTCCGGAGGATCTTAAAGTCATTCACAAAAAAGGAATATTCCTTGGCAGGTGTCGAGGTAATGTCATCAAGTTCCTTCTTATCTGCATTCTTAATCCCTGAGGAGGAGGAGTGAACATTCATATGTCAACGCTGCACAGAAGCAAGCATTCCAAGGCAGAAATTATTGCTTGTGTCTCACTCGTGAATGAAATCTTAAGTAGAACATACCAACTGCAAACAATTTAACATCTTGGCTCCGTAGCTTCAAGGCTGGTCGTTCAACATTATCCTGTGATTTTCCATCTGTTATCAAGATAGCAATCTAAACACAAAACGTTAGACCTTAAGAGATTACTTGTGTTGAAACAGAATATTTTATACTTTATTTTACTAGCTTCTCCAGTCTTTCTGCCAGCTTTCAAATGCCACCCTCATCCCTGGGCGCAGAAACAAAAGCAGGAATATTCTTCTAAAACTAGTACCACCCAACTCATTGATGGCTGCTTTTCTGCTGGGAACTGATACTGGGTTTTTCACTGAGGGTTGCTGCGCAATGGTTATGTTCATTAGCTGAGGGAGAACAGCCAAGCCAATGGGACCAATTTTCTTCCTGTTGGATCTGGGAGTAAAGATCCTTCTAAACTCCATGAATCAGGCAAAGAGGAACACATCTACATGCTACAGGGATAGCAGTAATACCATTCATCCCCATCAGGCAGTTGGGGATGGACAACAAATGCTGCCTAGCCTCGTCCCATGAATGATTGAAGAAAAAATTCTCTGTTGAATTCCTGGTAATGACTTTCTGTCAATGTCCCTTTGACCACCACAAATGGAACCCACTTCTACATACCCACCCTGTCTCTGAAAACCACAATCAAATTACCTCTCTACCTTCTATGCTCCAGGACATACAATCCTAGGGTATGCGCTCTCTTTTCATAGTTTAACTGTTGGATCCCTGATAACATTCCAGTCAATCTGTAATGCACTCTTTCCAAAGCCAATATATCCTTCCTAGGATACAAAGCCCAGAACATTGCTCCCCAGATGAGGTCTAACCAGGAATTTGTGTCCCCTTAGCCAAACATCTTCCCCTTTGGGATCCAGCCCTTTACTTATATAGGTTGACATTCCATTTGACTTTCCTGACCATTGCTTGTACTACACTTTATTTTCTACCAATCTCTTCGGAGACATTATGACACACTTCTGGAGCAGATGGGACTTGAACCCAGATGCTCTGGCTCAGAGGTAAGGATACTACCATTGTACCACAACATCCCTCAGGTGCTCCTTGTATATGTGCTCAATTACTAGCGCTACCTGACCATGAGTGATTTGGTGATGGTTTAAAAACAATTGTTCAGTTGCGTGAAAGAGCACTTCACGATGTAAGAAAAGTAACTACTACCTGTTTTTTGTTAATCATAAATAAAGACATGAAAAATTTAACAATGTGATTAGCCAGATATAATAGCTAGGAATGAATTTACTGTCCGTATATGGTATCCAGGTGTATAATACATGGTAACACTAAAGAGCTAAATTCTACTGATTTCTCCTTTCTTCCCAGTCCAAAGTAAAAATCCCAACTATTCAAGTCTTCCTTCATAATTATACTCACTTACTCCAGCTATCATTGCAGTGGAATTGGTCTATTCCATTTTAAGGCTCCGAGATCTTAAACTTCCATTCCCTTCCTACAGAGCAATAATACCTGATTTTTAACATTCACTGGTGAGGCACTGCCTGGATGGGTGCAGCCCCAACAACACTCAAGAAGCTTGACACCATCCAGGACAAAGCAGCCCGCTTGATTGGTACCACATCCACAAGCATCCACTCCCTCCATCACCGACGCTCAGTAACAGCAGTGTGTACTATCTACAAGATACACCAAAGCTCCTCAGATAGCACCTTGCAAATCCACGACCACTTCCATCTAGAAGGACAAGGGCAGCAAATACATGGGAACATCACCACTTTCAAGTTCCCCTCCAAGCCCCACTCACCATCCTGACTTGGAAATGTATCACCATTCCTTCACTTTGCTCGGCAAAAATTCCGGAATTCCCTCCGCAGTGGCATTGTGGGTCAACCAAAGCACATGGACTGCAGTGGTTCAGGAAGGCAGCTCACCACCACCTTCTCAAGGGGCAACTAGGGACAAGCAATAAATGCTGGGCCCAGCTAGCGACGCCCACGTCCCGCAAATGAATTTTTTAAAAAAGGGACATTTCTGGCTGGTCCAGCATTCATTGCACATCCCTAATTAGCTTTGGGAAGGTGGTGGTTATGGGCTGCCTTCTGAACTGCTACAGTCCATATGCTGTAGGTAGACTCACAATATCATAAGGGAGGGAATTCCAGGATTTTGACCCAGCGACAGTGAAGGAACAGTGGTATATTTCCAAGTCAGGATGGTGAGAGGCTTGGAGGGGAACTTGCACGGGGTGGTGTTCTGTTGGCATTGTCCTTCTAGAGGTGGTGGGCATGTGTTTGGAAGATGCTATGGACAGAGCCTTGTGAGTCACTGTACTGCATCTTTTAAATGGTACACATTGTGCATCAGAAGTGGAAGGAATGAATATTGAAGATCTTAGATTAAAACATGCACGAAATATATATATAGATGGACACTTATAATGATAACTGTTCTCTCACCTTAGGCACAATGCGCCTCAGTTTGGCAGATCCAAAGAAGTTGTCTGCTACATATTTCAATCCTGCCCCTGTTCTTGTGTTCCCACCTTTATAACGCAAATTGCGGATGGCAGTCAGTATTTGGGATCCGTTGCTGTGGTCCTCAAAAGAGAACTCAACCCTTTTTTGAAAAAAAGGCAAAGAAGACATAAATTATTCTAGGGCTAAAATAGACGTTTCCAAAGCAGTACCGTCAACATCACTGAACAAATTGAGCTAAAGTAAGTTTATCCTAACACAGCCAGCTCTACACAGAAGTAGAAACTGCCGAAGTAACTCAGCAATAACGGAGAGTTAACATTTCCAGCCTAGTGACAATGGAATTTCAATGGAGTGACAATTTCAGCTCTATACGCTCCTGCTGTTTGCAGGCTGGTGACACATACAACAACAAGTTAGAGTCATAGAGCTGTACAGCGTGGAAACAGACCCTTCAGTCCAACTTGTCCATGCCGACCCGGTATCCTAAATTAATCCTGTCCCATTTTCCAGCATTTGGCCCACTTCCCTCTAAACCCTTCCTGTTCATGTACCCATCCAGATGCCTTTTAAATGTGTAATCGTACCAGCCTCCAGCACTTCCTCTGGCAGCTCATTCCATGCACACACCACCCTCTGTGTGAAAAAGTTGCCCCTTAATCCCTTTTAAATATTTCCCCTCTCACCTTAAACCTATGCCCTCTAGTTTTGGAATCCCCTACCCTGGGGAAAAGAGTTTGACTATTCACCCTATTCATGCCCCTCATAATTTTATAAATCTCTATAAGGTCACCCTTCAACCTCCAACAATCCACAGAAAATAGCCCCAACCTATTCAGCCTCTCCCTAAAGCTCAAACCATCCAACCCTAGCAACATCCTTGTAAATCTTTTCTGAACCCTTTGAAGTTTCACAATACCTTTCCTAAAGCAGGGACACCAGAATTGAACTCAGTATTTCAATAGTGGTCTAACCAATGTTCTGCACAGCTGCAACTTGATCTCCCAACTCTGATACTCATGCACTGACCAATAAAGGCAAAGCATACCAAACACCTTCTTCACTATCCTGTCTTCCCAAAACTTAGTTTCATACAGTCCGCCAAATGAAACAAAGTGTTCCAAAGCCCTTTGCAGAAACAAATAAACAAATAAAATCAGACGTCAAGACAAGTAGATATTTGGAGAAGTGACTGAAAACTTGGTCAAAGATGTAGGTTTTAGTGAGTTCTCTGAGGAGAAATAACAGGTACCAGTCAAACTTTGATGACACCTGACACTGTGTCTCACAATGGCTGTTGAATTTTAATTGCCACACTGGAGATTTCATTTTCTTCGTCAAAGATAGGTACACAGATAGGTACAAGCAATGCTGCAACAATTTTTGTTTGGAAAGAGGTAAAGTGAGCAGTTTACTTTAACACGTAAAATAAAACAAAGAACTGCGGATGCTGGTGACCTGAACAAAAGCAGAAATTGCTGGAGAAACTCAGCAGGTCTGGCAGCATCGGTGGGAGTAAGCAGAGCTAATGTTTTGAGTCCAAATCAGGGTTCTGATGAGCAGTCATTAAATTTGAAAGGGTAACACTTTCTCGCTCTACAGATGCTGCCAGACCTGCTGAGTTTCTCCAGCATTCCTTTTTTTTTGTTACTTTGACACATGTCTGCTTTCAATCTCTGAATGCCAAAAATGCATTGTAAACTCATACCAGATGCAAAAACAGAAGTTGATAGAAAAGCTCAGCAGGTCTGAATAGGTTCCTCAGAACCTCACCGGACCTGAAATGATAACTCTGATTTCTCTTCACAGATGCTGCCAACCTGCTGAGCTTCTCCTGCAACGTCTGTTTTTGTTTCTGATTTACAGCATCTGCTGTTCTTTTGGTTTTTATTCATATCAGATTCAGACAATCTGCAAGTCAATTCCTTTTATTCCTTTATGGGATGAAGGCATTGCTGGCTAGGCAGCATTTATTGCCCATCGCTAATTGCCCAGAGGACAGTTAAGAGTCAACCACATTACTGTGGTCTGGAGTCACATATAGGACAGACCAGGTAAGGATGGCAGTTTCCTTCCCTAAAAGACATTTGTGAACCAGATGAGCTTTTCCTGACAATTGACAATGGATTCACAATCATCATTAGACTCTTAACTCTAGATAATTATTGAATTCAAATTCCACCATCTGCCACGGCAGGATTTGAACCTGGGTCCCCAGAATATTATCTGGGTGTCTCTGGATTAATAGTCCAGCAATAATACCACTAGGCCATCACCTCCCCTGCAATGGACCCAATTCCTTTCTTTTCAAAGAAAGATTTTTTCAGTATATGACCATTTGCCCCGTCACTGACGTAAAGATCCCACAGCCATTATTGAAAGGAAAAGAGAGGCTCTCATCACTGTTCGGCTCAATACTGTCCCCTCAACCAAAATCATTTCAGAGTATCTGGCCATAAGCATACGGGAGCTTGCTGTGCATATTGGCTGCTGCATTTTCTGTGTTACAAAGGTCACAACAGAGGTAATTCATTGGCTATAAAGCACATTGGGACATCCTGAGGATGTAAGAGGAAATTCAAACTTTCCTTTTGCTTCCAACTGACATTGGCACTGATGCAGGCACAATTCGACCACTCTTCAGTGGGTGTGAAGCTGAAATTTGTTAAGTTTGAGATGGGTTACAGCCAGGGTTTGAACCTTTTTACACTTTAACTTCACAGCCAAACTCGCTCTTTCTTGGAAGTTAAAATGTTCTGCAAGGCTCTGCTGAATATTATCATCAGAGAAGATAATTTCCACCATCCAGACAGTTGACAACTATGACAACCAATGTGGAAGTGCGAAAATGTAAGCTATCCTCCTCAACTTTCTGGACTTGTCTACAGCATCTCACCGGTTCGACCCCACCAATTCAGTCAACTCACTGGAAGGTACCTGCCTGGTTCCGATTTAAGCCATCTAATCCCAAACGCTTCCTTTTCCAATGCTGCATCACTACTTCCGTCGCTGTCCAACGAAATATCCTTGGTCACCTCCTACTTCTCATCTACATGCCTCCCTACATTGACAACATCTAAAAACAATTTTCACATGTAAGCCGACAGCACCCTCCTCTGCCTCATCACACTGTCACTTGTTGCTAAATGATCAGACTGCTTATCTAACGTTCAGTCTTGAATGAAGCGGGAAAGGTTGTTCAATCCAATATTGGGAAGACTGAAGCCATTTCCTTCAAACTCCACTCCGTTTCCCCAGTCACCAAATCCATATCTCCCCCTGAAAAATGTCTTCTTTATTCTGCCACAACCAAGGCAGAGGAATGCACCAATCCTCAGTCCCACTACTCCATGGGTCACGACATACAGTACAAATACTTTGTTCAGTTACCAAAATGGTAAGGTTAACTAACCAGCTTTATCGACCAGGCTCCCTAACAGACACAATTGTGGCTTCATTATCAAAGCTTGTTCAATACAGATGCAATAATTGGTTGACATACTCAGACATGCAAAATGTAAATCTTTAAATGCTTTTCTCTCTAAATAGCCCAAAACATCTGCTCACACACACAGACAGGCACACACCACACATGCACGCACAGAAGCACACACAGATAGACACACACATATAGACATGCAGACACACAGAGACAAAGACATAGGGCCATGCTGGCAGGCACACAGACACACACTCAGACACAGACACAAACACATACACGACAGAGATACACAGACATGCGCACGCACACACACACTCATCCCCCACACACACACACATTGCCCCCTTACACACACACACACACATTCCCCACCCCACACACACACACACTCAAACGACAGACACACACACACACACACACACACACACACACACACACACACACACA